CTGTTTCATCGAAAGACTTCTTCTTCTCAAAAGGCTTCTTACCTTTGAGGTTTCTTCCTTTGATCTTCATTTTCTTATACTTCTTTATAAAGAGAGCTAGTTCTTCATCGTCAACATCTTCATCTTCAGAATCTGCATCAGAATCAATGTTAGTCTTTAAAGCAATTGACTTATTACCTCTGGATTCATTCTCCTCATTTCGTTTCTCAATCTCATATGATTGAAGAGTTCCAATTAACTCATTCACTGATAGAGGCTTGATCCTTTGTGTCTCTCGGAGAGATGTTTTGATGTTATCCCACTGATTTGTCAGTCCTCTCAGAAGTTTGTTGACTTTCATTGCATCTGGAACTGGTTGTCCTTGATAAGCAAGACCGTTTACTATATCAGTAAACCTGTCATACAAATCAGCAATTGATTCTCCAGGCTTCATTTTGAAGGATTCATATTGACCAAGCAAAAGATTGATTTGAGTTTCCTTGGCTCGATCTGTTCCTTCATAAGTGACAAGGAGAGTATCCCAGATTTCCTTAGCTGATTCACAAGCAGCAATTTTTTTATATTCAATAGGTGATAAAGCACAATAGAGAGAATAAATTGCTTTGGAATCTAAGGTTTCTCTTTTGGATATCTCAGTTTGAGATAATGGAGGATCTGCTGCTTTGCTTGCATCTGCCTTTTCTTTTGAATCAGAAGATTTTGGATTGACTCCTCTGATGATGACATCCCATTGCATGTGATCGATTGACTTTATGAATGCCTTCATCTTATTCTTCCGGACACTATATTCTTTGCCATCGAAATATGGTGGTCTCGTTGTTGCTCGTCCTTCAATGAGCCCTGGAGCACCATAGCTAGCCATGTAGATCGTTAGCTCAGAAGTAAGACACTTCAATAAATGAGCAACCTGCTCTGATACCAATTGATGTAGCTAGCAAGGATAACCTAGAGGGGGGTGAATAGGTGATCTTAATCAATTTTTAATAATTTATGCGGAAACAAAATAAATCACAGAAGAGTCTGAATAAAATTCAGATTCAAGACAGATTATATAGACGGTGCTCTTGATGTGCAGAATGTAAAGTAAGAGATAAGGGATAGAGAATCTGCACACAAGTTTACAGTGGTTCGGATTATAGCAAGCCTATGTCCACTCTCCCACGCTTACAGCCTACCGGCTGGATTTCACTATGTAATCAAGAGGAATTACAACTTCTGAGTGTTAACACTTGTCACGCCCCGAACCCTACGAGCGCGCGATCATCCCTTTGTGGTCGTAATGTACGCGACAGCCCAGGATTTGTCGCCGACCCAATCGAAACACTAACGAGTAACGCATGCGGAAGCAACCTCGAACTCTCCGTACAACATATAAACAACGGGATAGTAGAGAGACAAAGAATACACATCAACAAGACACTTTTATAAACATAACATCGATTATAACACATACATTTGCAAGCCTTCTACAAGGCCACTATCTACGAACCACGCACAATAACATGGATCTGGTGGTTGGTAAGCTTAATTCCTCTACAAAAAGGTGTACTCAAAAGACGGGGTAACTCGACCTATCCTCAATCCCCGTAGTATCCTGGCAGCGTCTCCGGATCAATCACGGTCGCGGGTCTGAAATGGTTTGGTTATACAACCATGAGAACACTTCTCAATAAGCAACTACCTAAGCCTCGCTTAGGCCAAAGCGTACTTCCGAACAATTCTAAACATGCGATTCAAATAATCGACGTGCCATAAACAATCACAAGCGTCCTTACCTCGCCTTGGCGCATACATAAGCCCTGCACGTTAGAATATCGCCATAACATGACCAATTGCCCATCAAGCACGCGCAAAGCAATTCATGGCATGATTAAGCATAACATGGTTAATAATCCAGACGTGCTCATCAATTAACTCAGGCAAAACATTCCCCAATGCAAATCGCACTCATTAAGTCCAGATTATTAACGACCCCTCGGGCCACCGAACTCCCGCCGGTCTTCTGGCGTAACCAGGCATCGTCCCGCTACTTCGGCGACAGAAACGTCCGGAACCCCCGCCCAGACGGCATTCCACAAAGGAGCATCGATCCGGCCTCTACCGCGATCGGCAACGTCTAGAACCCCCGCCTAAACGGCATCCGAACTCCCGCCTAGACGGAACGTGTCGTGACCATGCACACACCTCAACAATCATTACCAATTCTTATCTTTGTAAATTAGCCCAATGTCAACTAAATCCACCAAAATGTCATGGTAACACCGATCAGTTCCCGAGAGAGAGAGAAAAACCGAGTATGCACAGAATCGGGGCCAAACTGGGCACTAACATAGTCACCGGATTTCCTTTAAAATAAATAGTAAATCAACTCCAAAAATTCTGAAATTTGGATATGTTGCATAAAACATCTTGGTAAACATTTTCCGTGAGAACTCAAAACCCAGTTCCTACTGTAAGCACCTCTTTTTGTCACTTGAAGTCAGACAAAATTCAACCCGTTCGGTCAGGCCGCCTGACCATCAAAATGCATCTCATCCAGTACCCAAATCATTTTGAAAAGCCTTCAAATTTTTATATGTCATAGAAACAAATGTTATTAACAATTTTTGTGAAGGAAGTTTGTTGAAAAGAGGTCTGGAAAAATTTTTAGAAAATCGGAGAGACCAGATGGTCGGATGAACAGTAAATCCGGCAGACTGAATTCGGTCCAAAAATGGACTTACGAATGGAACTAAATGATCTCCAAAAATTCCAGATTTAATATATGTCAAACTTCAAGATGTTATGAACAACTTTCATGAAGAACACTTCCTCAAATTCGGCCCACACAAGTCACAGTAAAAATAGAAAAATCCAGCGACGCAGCAGCAACCTTACCGGAAATTAACCAACAAGCACCACCAAGCAAACCAAGATCAACCAGCCACTAAACCAACTATCCACAGCCCTTAAACCATCCCTAACATGTCCATTAGTCACCCCTTAGCCTAGTCAAGGGTTAGGAAGCCACTTACACTTAGCCTAAGCAAGAAAACCGAGCGAAAGGAGCAGCTCAGTCACGGCAAAGCAGCAGCAGCCTCAGCGGACAGGCGGCAGCTCACGGCAGAGTCGGGTGGAGATGGGGACTGAACGGTGGTGCTGGTCGGGCTGGAATGGAGGGCGAGAAGCAGCAGAAACCAGAGGAAGCAGAATGAAGAAGCAAGTAGCAGTGAAGCAGCAGCAGAAAATGAAGTAGAAGCAGCAGGCGTGGGGGTGGTCAGCAAAGAAACAATGTAAGGGGAAGTTAGCAGCAGCATAGTAGTGACAGAAACAACGTGGGGCAGCATGGGCAGCTTGAGGAGTCAGTGGATGCAGCGGTAAGAAGCAGAAGCAAGCCAGAAATGGCATGGGCGGAGCAGAAGCAACACGGCAGCGAGGCGAGCAGGGAAGTCTATCATGGCAGCTGCATGGGGAGGTCAGCAACGTGGGGGAGTCAGCTGAAGTATGGGGGAGTGATGATGGCTGGTGGAGTTGATGGAAGAAGTCAGCAGCAGCAGCAGCAAAGGCAGAAGCAGAAACAGAAGCAAAGCAGAAGCATGGGTGGAGCAGCGTGAGATGAGGAGTCAACAACGTGGAGGAGGGCAGCGGGGAAAGAGGAGGAAGTCAGCGGCGTGGGGCAGCAGCGACGTGAGGGAGGAGACAGAGAAGAGAAGAGAGAGAAAGTCAAACGCACTTGAGTGCGATCCGACGACCATCATTCAAATCCGAAAACGATCCAACGGCCCACGAAAAACCCTAATTATAAATTAGGAAAAAGGCCAAAAGATAATAACTAAACACACTACGAGGGAGGTGTACTAGTCCAAATTCGCACCCGGTCAAAATTTCACTTTTCGCATATCCCGGACAATATCGAGGCTCGCCACAATAATATCGACACCGTCCAATTAAATTCGTCACGAAACTCCGAGAAATTCGACACCAAAGTTCGGGCTCTAAATAACGGCCAAATTCGATCGAGTGCGATTCTAGCGAAATCTCAATTTTAAAAACAATAACCGAGAGTGATCAGTTCCCGGGCGAGATTTTACTATAAGCACACTGACGAATTACACGTTTTATAAATCCCAAAAATGGGCTGAAATTCGGAATGTCACAACACTCTTGTGTATGATAGGACTCTCTATCTCACACAATCACTCTTACAAAGTGTCCCTCAAGATCTTAATGTTTTGCTTAGAACGATAAGAGAAATGATTGGAGTATGCTCAGACTTTGGACTTGTTGATTCTTGATTCTGTGTACCTTCTGCTGCTCGTTGATCTCCTTAAATACTCCTCTACTAGCCGTTGGACAGCTTTCAAAGGATCATCTTCCAATCTTCACTTTGGACAAATTTGTATAATAAGGATTGAGTAGCCGTTGGATGACATATTCTGAATCCCGCTGATTCTGGTCGCCCATACAATCAGAATCTTGGTTTCCATAAGTAGAGTTTTGTCCGTTGTAATGCATTCTTGTCGTGATGTTTGATTGTCAATCAATTTGATTGAGATTGAGACAATCAGAACATTCCTTCTGTGAAATCCATGCCAGATCACTAGCTGTTGTGTTTCGTTCTGAATTCTGCGTCTGAAGAAATTCTGCGTCTGCGTCTGCATCTGAATAACTTCTGCTTCTGCATCTGCATCTGAATAACTTCTGCGTCTGAATCTCAGAACCTAGATTATGTGGGTCTTCAAAAACATACTTGACAGTTTGTAAAGTCTGAATAATTTCCTTCTGAGTTTCCAGAACATAAATACCTGGAATAAATTAGTTCAGAATAAGTATCAGACTTATAATTATGTGGAAGGTTTTGTCAACTTCAAAATTAATAGGAGTTTTCCTCTATAGTATCCATGTTGTCTGAGTAGCCGGAATCGAAGGGAAGCGGCATAGGGATTGTGCGAAAGCTGAGCATCTCCAGCGTTGTTATAGATGGAACTAAGAGCGTTTTTTATCTCCGTCTGGAAATGGTATCCTAGTCCTAGTCATTGAACTGCGTCAATGAACTGGAGCTTGGCCACCTGGTTCGTCTCCCAATCGAATAGACCCCTGACTTCTTCCATCAACCTTTGGACTTGCTCGGTATATTTATCCTCCTAGGCATGTGAAAAATTCAGAAAATTGAGATCTTAATCAAAGTTGATGCACACGTAGAGTTGAATATTGCCTCTCGTATTGAAACAGATTGATTCTCATTTTATTTGCAAACACATTTGAGAAGGAATTGTTGTGCTCGTGCCTATATGCTGAGAATATGCCATTTTGACCAGGTTTATTGATATCTCTTACAGAATATTGTTGGGGTTGGTCGTATATATAATAGAGTGGCAGTGGATGAATGTGTAAATTCTTATTACATAGCTCCAATGTCGTATATAAAGCATATGCAAAAGTACACGAGAAGCATACATCCTTATATCTAATTCAAAATACAGTTTTCTTTTGTTTCTATTTCCTTTTGGGTGTTGTGGACTCTATCTACGATCCACAACTTATGTTGTTTTTGTTCTCAACATGGTCCTTGAACTCGAAACTTGTACCGAGTTTTCCACATCATACTTTCAGCTAGCATTGGCACGCGCATGAGCTTCAATTTGCCAGAACCATAGACCATGAAATTTGATGGGAAATTTCCACTAGTTTAAGGACAAAATTGGAAAAGGAATACAAATTCAGGATCAAATGTGAAACGTTTTCCATAGAACCCAGCCAGGCTGGGTATTATGCTGAACCAAAAAGCAATCATTACCGTGTAATCTACGGTGAGTGACTGTAGAAACCCATAGTCCCACACATTAGGTTTCCAATTCGCCGAACGTCTCACAGTCTCTTGATTTTCAATCGTCAAGGCACATGTCGCAGATTTAGCGCCGGCGGAGGAGAAGGAGGAGCAGCGAGGGTGTCTGAAGAATGAGAGAGAGGGTTGGCTATGGCTGATCGAGGAGGGGACGAAGCTTGTGAACAAAGCAGGAAGAGCCATTGCGAAATTTCCTGCAATCTTTTAGTGGGCTAACCACCCTTTATATAGGCGTTGTTGTTGAGCACCGGTCGTGGAAAAAGTTTATAGCCTTCGACATGCGATTATTGATTTGCAAAAACAAGTATCTTGTGCTTTGGAATTACTCAAAAAATCTCTAATGATCCCACGCATGCATTCAAATATCATCGCAATTACAAAACTCTATACATCTTTCGACTAGAATGTTTATCTAAATTGAGACAATAAAACCGGTTGTCTCCTAATAAAAGGAAATTAGCAAAGTAGTAGACAAATTAGAAATAGTTTGAAGGCCAAATATCATGAAAAGACTCGAACTTTTTACTATTTTCTTAATACAAAACAGGAAAAATTTATTTAAAAAATTATAAACCTATTGTATGGCGCTATTTCAGTATTAAAATTGTCAATTTGGCTAATTTTTTTGTCAAAATTTGGCTAATTTTATGTTAGGATTTTTTACGATTTTCTATTTTAGTACTCCTGGCTAATATAGGTTGGAAGTCGCTGACGTGGCTGTCATTGTCCTACATTTGTAATTTTTTTTAGGTTTTCTTATCTTTTTATAATTTTTTTTAATGTTGCGTAGGACATCGTCGAGGCCCTATTGGCCTCTGCTGGCCCTTTTAGGAAGATGAACAGTGGAAAAGAAAATAAAAGAAACAAAAAAAATTATGAAAAATACCAAAATTTAAAAAATTGCAAAAAAATCGTCCACGTTAGCGTTGGTCGTACCATGTAGGACGGCCAGCGCTGATTGGATGGCCACGTTATTTATTTTTGGCCAAAATAGACTACATTAAAAAATCATCAAAAGTTTTAAAACTAAAACGGCCTAATATCCAAAAAAACCCCAAACTTTAGCCTTTGTCCCAATTATATCCTAAACTTTTTTTTGTCCCATAAAAAACCCCAAACTTTTACTTTTGTCCCAAATCTACCACCGTTAACTTTTCCGTCCAATATTACCGTTAATAATTATTTTAATATTTATTTTTTCGAATTTTTTTTTATTTTTTTATTTTTTCTTTTCTTTTCTTTTTCCTTTCCTTTTCTTTTTTTTTTTCCCTTCACCTTCAACCTCTGGCCGGTCGCCGGTCCAGCGATCGGCCAGAGGCGGGGGCCGACGAGGCTCGACCTCGCCGGTGTTGGGCGAGGTCGGCCTCGCCCGCCCTTGGCGAGGTTCGTCCTCGCCGTGGGCCGGCGAGGCTCGAACTCTCACGGCAAGCGGCGAGGCGAGCCCCGCCCGGCCGTGGCGAGCCCCCCGCCGGCCGTGGCGAGGACGAGGCGGCGGGGGCTCGCCCTCGCCAGCCACGGCGAGGACGAACCTTGCCGGGGCGGGCGAGGTTCGTCCTTATCGTGGCCAACGAGGCTCGAACTCGCCGGCTACTTGCGAGGGCGAGCTCGCGAGGACGAGGCCGGCGGGGCCGAGCCCTCGCTAGCCACGGCGAGGACGAACCTCGCCGGGGGCGGGCGAGGTCGACCTCGCCCAACGCCGGCGAGGTGGAGCCTCGCCCGCCCCTGGCAAGGTTCGTCCTCGCCGTGGCTGGCGAGGCTTGGTCCCGTCGACTAGTGGCGAGGTCGAGCCTCGTCGCGGCCGGCGAGGACGAGGCCGACGGGACTGAGCCCTCGCAGGCGTTGGGCGAGGCCGAGCCTCGCTAGATGTCACGCCCCGCACCCTACGAGCGCGCGATCACCCCTCGATGGTCGATCATTGAACGCGACGTCCCAGGACGCGTCGCCGACTCAAACGAACTACGCAAGCGGAAGCAAAATAAAACAACCCGGACAATAAAATATGACGAAGGGATAGCACAAAACAATAATTCCAAATACACAACATCAAAACGGACTAGTGGTTTGGATATCCTACTTCACTATACAAAAGAGGGGCACACAAAAATATGGGGCAACTTGACCCGTTCTCCACTCCCGAGATACCCTGATGGCGTCTCCAGTCAATCACTGTTGCAGATCTGAAAATGGTTATATAATAACCGTGAGAACGAGTCTCAATAAGCAACCTCCTATATCCCACATAGGCCAATGCGTACCCAGACAAGTCGTACATGCAATCTACCCCATAACATATAAAATAAAATCGCATCCTTATACTTACCTCACCATCGAACCCGTGCTAACACTGCACGTTAGTCATAACATGGTAATGCAGTAATAGTAACTAAATAGCACATCGCAATTGCTCAAACGCCAACCACACTTGCACGCAATTCATCTTACTAATTCGACCACACATTCAACCAGCCAATTCAATCACACTCAACCAGACATTTCAATCACACTCAAATCGCATGCGTGGCCGAACATCTTTCTCACGACCCGCGCCACCGCCCTCAGGTCCATTCTCTTGCCCGCGCCCGCGCGCTCAGCCCATCTCGGCACACCGGCCATTCATGCTTTCACACGGACTGCCGTCAACACGTCCCAAGTCCGTAGCCCTCCGATCAATTCGGGCTCAATTCTAATGACCGACGTAAACACGTCCCGGTCCAACACACCTTTAACGGGCCACCGTCAACACGTCTCAAGCCCGCATCCATTTGGCACACCGGCCATTCATGCCTTCACACGGACCGCCGTCAACACGTCCCAAGTCCGTAGCCCTCCGATCAATCCGGGCTTGTCTCATGCACATGCACCACAACACAATTGAAAATTCTCACAAGCCGTACTAATCAAACTCAAGGCATGCTCACCACAATATTCCACCAACCCGACCTTCATGTCGGTCACATTCAGCTGTCAATTCCACTCACAACCGCCACGATAAGCCAATCATTGACTCACCACAATAGCCACAAATATGCACCCACATTCATCCCAAATTCAAATCACAAGCTCACGATTCCGACATTCAAGTCAACACATTCAATTAATCCAATTCACCCACAAGCGCCACGACAATTCAGTCATGCTATTTATCTCAGTCAATCACCAAATTAACCACACAATTACCGCCACAATAATTCACAAATTGAGCACAATTAGTCAAATTAGCCCACTCCTAATTTCATTCCTAACCCGGTACCAAGCACATCCTAAACAAGTCTAAAAATACCCATAGTCCTAAATAAGGAATAGGAGGTCACTTACTTCAATTTGGCTCGGGAAAAACCCGCACGGGCTCAAAACGGGCCGGATGAACAGTAATGGCGAGGGCGCGACGGGCGCGGGGCTCGGCCACTGCTTGGCACACGGCCCGGCGACTCGGCCACGGCCCGGGCGATCCGGCCACGGCCACAGGCACGCTCGGGCTGGGGCTGGAGTAGCGGCTAAGCGAGCTCGGCCACGGCTCGGGACGCTCGGGCGACGATGACGACAACGGCGGTTGGACTGGTCCCGGCGAGCACAGCGGCTGCAAGTGGCTGGGCAAGGTGCCGGGGGCCGGGTGGTGGCGGACGGAGCAGCGGCGGAGACCGGAACGGCGGCGCGCAGCGGCTGGCCGAGGCGGCGTCGGAGAGAGCCCAAAACAGGGGAGGCGTCGGGGAGGATGAAAAACAGGGGAAGGGGAGGTGGCGGCGGCCGAGGGGGAGCGGCAGGTCGGCGGAGGTGGCTGAGGGGAGAGACTGGGCGGCAGAGGCGGAGCGGCGGCAAGCGGCGGCGGCGAAGCCTGGAGCCCGAACAGGGGAAAGCACCGGGGAAGAGAGAAACAGGGGAAGAGGAGGTCGCGCGGTGGCCGGAGGCGGCACGGCGGCGTCTCGGGTGGCCGGGCGACGGAGGACAAGCCGGCGGACGGCTGGACGACGCCGGACCGTGGCGGATGCAGCGGTAAGCTGCTGCTCGTGTGCAACGCGGGCAGGACCGGCGACAGGCGAGCAAGGCCAGTGAGCGGCGGTCGCGGGCGACGAGCGGCGGCGTGGCTCGGTCGGGCGATGGCGGCGCGAGGCGAACGTTGAACGGTGGCTGGGCTAGTCCTGGTGAGCAGCAAGCAGGAGGCCAGAGCAGTCGCGACCGGAAGAGAAGACCCACGGAGAAGAAGAAGAAGAGAGGAAGAAAAGAAAAGAAGAAGAAAGAAAGAAAAGGAAGAGAGAGAGAGAGAGGAGTGGATGGGTCTGACAAGGGGGGACAGACGTGCGAAGGGGGTAAAGTGACCGGAGAGAGAGAAAGAGAGAGAGAGACGCAAAATAAATAAATAAAGATTCAAATAATAATTGCGATCCGATGGCCCATATTTAAAACTGAAAACGATCTAAAGGTCCAAATTAATCCTAGAATATAATAAGGGACAAAAGCCAAATTAATTAAATCAAACTACCACGAGGGAGGTCTACTAGTCCAAATTCGCACCCGGTCAAAAATCCACTTTTCACATATTTCGAGCAATCTCGAGGCCGACCACAATAATATCGACACCGTCCAATTAAATTCATCCCGAAACTCCGAGAAATTCGACACCAAAGTTTGGGCTCTAAATAACGGCAAAATTCGATCGAATGCGATTCTAGCGAAATCTCAAATTTAAAACAATAACCGGGAGTGATTAGTTCCCGGGCGAGATTTTACTATAAGCACATTGACGAATTACACGTTTTATAAATCCCAAAAATGGGCCGAAATTTAGAATGTCACAACTCTTCCCCCCTTACAAAAATTTCGTCCTCGAAATTTACAATCTAACCCAGCTATCCAAATAAATGGGGGTACTGGTGTCGCATCAACTCTTCGCGTTCCCATGTCGCACCTTCGGTTCTATGGTGCTCCCAAATCACCTTGACCGTTTCAACTGACTGCTGAGCCAACTCGGGACCCGTGATACTCTTCTCACCCACTTCATCCCAACAAACCGGCGTTCTACAAGCTCTGCCATACAACGCTTCAAACAGGGCCATTCCGATACTCTGTTGATAGCTATTGTTGTAGGCAAATTCAACCAAATGCAACTGTTCCTCCCAGCTACCTTTAAAATCCAATACATATGCCCGTAGCATATCTTCTAAGGTCTGAATTGTCCTTTCAGACTGGCCA